CCAACTCCCTGTAACATCAATGCCGCCGCCCAATATGCGCGACGTTCTGTCTAGCTAGACTATATGGCTAAAACAACTACCAGTCTAGCTCCACGCACTAATCCATGTGACACGTGCAAAAGACATGTTACAATACAACGACTAAATCGTGCCTTAAAATATAAACTTCATGTAAGTGACACAGTTGAAGTTAAAAATTTAATCATTCCAACTAAAAAGAAAACAGAAACAAAAACACATTTTGGGAAGAAACAAAGAGCGCAATTCTATAAGTGAGCGGGGAAAAAGTGCTTAGTTGGTCAACACTTGGTTGAAAGGAAAATATCGCAAAATCTATCTATCTATCTATCTATCTATGTATCTATCTATCCATCCATCCAGCCAGCCAGCCATCCCTCCATCCATCCATCCATTGCATGTCATGCCATGCCATGCCATGCCATGTCATGCCATCCCATCTCATCCTATCCCATGCCACCCCATGTCACCCATGCCATGCCATTCCATCCCATCCCATCCCATCCTATGCCATCTCATGGGATCTGATCCGATCCCATCGCAGTCGACCTCATCCCATCCCATCCAATCCAATCGCAAACAATAAAAAATATAAATAATATAAAGAACATGAAAATAATAATAAATAATAATAGTAGTATATAATAATAATAGTAAAAAAATAGTAATTTTTTTCAATTTTTAACTTTTTAAAATGTTTTTAATGAATGTAGTAAAATTTATTTTTGACATTTTGAAATTAACGCTGAAGTGGCAGAAGTAGATACTAAAGAGTAAAAAAGCAAAGGAGAAATTTTTTTCCCCCAGCTGAGATTCAAACCCGGAATCTCGGGTTATGAAAACGACCTCCTACCGACTATGCTACGGCGGCGGGAATGACACGCGAAATAATTCCCACGTACGTGATGATTGAATTTTGACTTTTACAATTTTTTTTTGACTTTTTAACTTTTTTAAATGTTTGTCTCAGCCAGAACCATCTTCCAGACGTGTTCCAGTGGTGATTCTGAATATATCTTCAGTTAGCGCGATTGAGTGACAAATCACGGAGAAAAGCGAGGTCAAACAAACACACACACGCACACTGACACACAAGATTAGCCAAATTATAGTATAGATATTATAGCTGTGATGAAGTGCTGCGTGTTGAATTTCATGCACATCTGACACACAATTTCCATCTTTCTAATCAGTAGTAAAGGGAGTAATAGTAGGGGTATAGAAGTAGTGCTTGTGCTAGTAATAGTAGGTAGCAGTGGTGGTAATTATTGTATCCCCCGCGACGAAGTCGGCGGGGATACTATGGTTTCATGTCTGTCCAGCCGCCGCCGCCGCAGACACTCCCTCCCGCTCTATAACTCGGCCCCTAATTGACCTAGCGCGACCAACCATCGTCTACTTACACATCTTGGGGAGAGGGTGCGCAGCGTACCAAAACCAGGTCACTACGACCTTTATTTGACCTTTACCTTGACCTTGATCATATTTACTTTCCGCTCTATAACTCGGGGCCCCTAATTGATCTAGCGCTACCAAACTTGGTATACTTACACATCTTGGGGAGAAGGTGTGTCGCGTACGAAAACCAGGTCACTGCGACCTTTATTTGACCTTGACATTGACCTTGATCATATTTCCCTTCCGCTCTATAACTCGGCCCCTAATTGACCTAGCGCGACCAAACTTGGTATACTTACACATCTTGGGGAGAAGGTGTGTCACGTACCGAAACCAGGTCACTGCAACCTTTATTTGACCTTGACCTTGACCTTGACCTTCATCATATTTCCCTTCCGCTCTATAACTCGGCCCCTAATTAACCTAGCGCGAGCAAACTTCGTATACTTACACATCTTGGGGAGAAGGTGTGTTATGTACCGAAACCATGTCACTGCAACCTTTATTTGACATTGACCTTGACCTTGAACTTCATCATATTTCCCTTCCGCTCTATAACT